GTGATGAGGGTCAGGAGAGCTCGAGCCTAAGGGTCGACGGTGATGGATGAACAGAGTCCTCCCTGGACGCCGGCCATGGATGGAAGAGAAGGGATGAAGCAGCAGGAAGGAAGTTGTCTTCTGGGATCTCTGACTTTCCTCTGAGCTTGCGTAGATATATGGAATGGAATATCTCTGGCCAATTTTGCTGTCTGTCTAACTCAGCCTCCTACGGGGGGGTCATAGATCTCCCCATAGTGTCTGAGCCGGCAGAGTAAAGATGTGACCTTGAAGACCCAGCAGTTAGAAAAACATTCCGGTGTCTTATCAGCCTAGCTAGAACACACTGTTGCTTGTTAAGAGAAAGCTTAGTGATGGAAAAAAAAACAGTTAAAGGAAAATTTGCTTCATCCTGTCTCAAACCAGGACAATATGATAGGGTTTTCAATATTTGGTGAAGTTAAGAGGGTTGTCAGCAAAACCTCTACCTTCGACTTCCAGAGGGCTGACTTTGGTCTCTTCAGTATCACTGGTTCGGGGAGTCCCTTGGGAAGCAGCATTCAAAAACAAAGGAGCCCAGCAAGGCTGGGCTTACTTTAAGAATGAAATTATGAAGGGGCAGGGGCAGGCTGTCCCTATGTGCTGAAAAAGGAGCCGGTGGGGAAGAAGACTGGCCTGGTTGAGTGGGCAACTATTACGAGAACTCAAAAATAAAAAAGAGTGTATCAACTTTGGAAGGTGAATGAGGAAGTATTCAAGGATATTGTGAGGGCATGTAGAAAGAGAATTAGAGATGCAAAAGCTCAGCTAGAACTTAAACTAGCCATCTCTGTAAAGGATAATAAAAAATGCTTTTATAAATACATTAATAACAAAAGGAGGGTCAGGGAAAATCTTCAATCCTTATTTGATGAGAGGGGGAACTTAGTAACAGAGGACAAGGAAAAGTCTGAGGTGCTTAACACCTTCTTTGCCTCAGTCTTAAACAAAAAGAATAGCTACCCTCAGGGCAACTGGGCTCCTGAGTTGGTAAACAGGGATGGGGAGCAGAATCCCCCTTCAGTAATCCAGGAGGAAGTAGTTAGGGACCTGCTGTGCCACTTAGATCCCAACAAGTCTATGGGTCTGGATGGGATTCATCCTAGAGTGCTGAGTGAGCTGGCGGAAGAACTGGCTAAGCCGCTCTCAATCATTTATCAGCAGTCCTGGCTGACTGGGGGGGGCGCAGATGACTGGAGGTTGGCCGATGTGATGCCCATCCACAAGAAGAGCCAGAAGGAGGATCCAGGGAACTATAGGCCTGTCAGCCTGACCTCGGTGCCTGCCAAGATTATGGAACAGATCATCCTGAGTGCCATCAAGCAACATGTACAAGACAACCAGGGAATCAGCCAACAGGGGTTTAGGAAAGGAAGGTCCTGCCTGGTCAATCTCATCTCCTTCTATGACTGGGTGACCCACCTAGTGAATGAGGGGAAGGCTGTGCATGTGGTCTACCTCGACTTCAGCAAGGCCTTTGACACAGTCTCCCACAGCATCCTCCTGGAAAAGCTAGCAATCCATGGCTTGGACAGGTACACCCTTCTCTGGGTTTAAAACTGGCTGGATGACTGGGCCCAGATAGTGATGGTGAATGGTGCTGCATCCAGCTGGCGTCTGGTGACCAGCAATGTCCCCCAGCGATCAGTACTGGGTCCAGTCCTATTCAACATCTTTATTGATGATTGGGATGTGGGGATTGAGTCCACCCTTAGTAAGTTTGCAGATGACACCAAGCTGGGGGGGGGGGGGGGC